AGGAAGGAAGGAAGGAAGGAAGGAAGGAAGGAAGGAAGGAAGGAAGGAAGGAAATATTGATTAAACTAAATGATCAAAGGTCTAGTCTGGTAGAAGGCAGCTTTTTTCACACTTCATTTTCTATATCTTCAATTTGGCACTGGAGTTTAGCCCTACCTGCACACATGGGCATATGTTTCCAAGTATGAAAAATCAAAATGACAAAATGTGCATCATGACTTCCCAGTGCAAGCTCTGCCCTTTCATGGCTGTGTTGTGCCATCACACAAATACCCATTGCTATGTCCTCTAACAGCACTGTCCAAAAGAATTTGATTTAGCTTGGATCAGTGGTATACGTCAACCACTAATGTGCTTCTTCATCACACAGTTTTAGCGAAGAGCTTTTGATTTCATAGCTCATGCATATTAATTCTAATAGCAGCATGATCCCATAGTATTCTTTTGATTTGTTTCCCTGTATATAAAAATGGCAAAATTACTTTTTCTTCTCTAAGCACTGACAGCATATATTAATCATCCCTTTTAAGTAGACAGTGAGCAACTCTTGCCCTTTCATGTACCAGCTTTGTATTAATTGGGTTAATTGTCCAGCATTAGTCAGTGGATTTACCACTGACATAGATCCATGGCTTTGAATCTCAAATATTTATAAATTTTTTTGGAATCATGAATTATGGAATTTGGTGGAATTCATTTTTTTAAAGGGAAGGTAGGCCCTTAAAATTGTAAAGCAGAGGAAATAGTTTTAAGTTTACTTACTTGGTTCTCTTTTAGGGTTATCTGTCCTTGTTCCTTGCACCCAATAAATGTCCTGATACATTTGAAAACCTTTTCATCTTGCAATCTTTGAACAAAATTAGCAGGAAAAAAACCAATTCGGTCTTCTATTTTTCCCTGTGAATAGGATATGATGACAAGACAATCATTACATAGTATTAAATTTTGTATTTTGTATATGCTATTATTCTGCCACTTACTCAAAGTGAAGTGCTCTGTTCTCCCGTCAGCCAGTGAGATAGCTAGCTTTGTGAGATAGCTCCAGCAGAGTCTACAATCACCCACTGAGTTTCATTAAAGTTCAGAGGAATTTATAGTTTACTCATTCCAGCCTTGGCCAGATACTCTAACCCATCCTCCCCGACCTTGCCTCCCCAAGTATGGCAGACTACAACTCCCTTCATCAATAATCAGCAAGTGGTTTGCATGCTGGCTGAGGATGAGGGAAGCTATAATCCAACATATTTGGAGAGCACCTGGTTGGTGCTGGTCCTGTAATTGGTGCCAACTTCTAATGTAACCACCAGATAACTTGATGGTTTGATTGCATTCCCCTGGTCTATCTGTTGCCTTTTAATGTGAAAAAGAAGGAAAGTTCCTTTACTTTACCACTATGAAAAAGAGTAGCTAACGAATGAACAAAGAACTCTTCTATGGTGGAAAAGAGTATAGTTCTACAACAGGCTACTTTGATGTAGCAAAGCAGAGTATTGGGCTGCAAATGAATTTGTAGTAATGTATTGACCAAAAAAAAAAAAAAGTAATACAATGTCCACTTCTTCCATTTTCAACATCAATGAAATTATTTGATTGTACCTTCCACCAATCTTCATTCGAATCCTCTAGCAGTGTAATTCTATCTCCTGGCCTATGATTAAAAAACAGAAACATTGGTAATGAGTTTATATGTCTCTATTAATATGCAAGAGCAACAATGAATTCTGCCATTTATTTATCCACCATACTGCCTTGTAGAAGTACAAAATTATTTATAATGTTTAGCTGATATCAGTGTTGCTGGGATTAAAACTTACTGGTTTTGATTCCAATAAAATCAGTGAAACAAGCCAATCATAACTAAATGCAGCTCTCAGTGTCCCAAATTCACATCATTTTTTTTTTAAAAAAAGCTTGGGTATTGTGGACAAAACATGTGTATATTAAAACAAAAGTAATTCATACAGATGAGATATACAGTATATATTAGCATTACCTCATTTCCAAATCTTCATGCTCTTGTGGTACAAATTTGTACAAGGCAACATAGGTATTCATCTGTACTGTATCTTTATTAAGAGATCCCTTGATTATAAAAGAGGAGGAACAAAGAAGATGAGGATAGATTACTACCAGTTTTACAAAAACATCACAGATACTTTTCCTTTGAAAGTGAGGTGTTGTTTTGAAATATGTTTGGTCTGTTGAGTACCAGGGACCATTAGCTATTATTCGATCTGACTTTATTCTGTCTGCCCTTCTTAACTCAGTGTAGAACATAAGTGGTGAAATTCACCTGACGGGGTCTAAACATATTTTGAAATAAAGGTCAGGAGCTATTAGCTCTAAAGCTGGACAAGGGACATTTAGTGATGAATAACAACTATAGCAAACACTGAATGAGATATCACTTAGTATTATAGACAGACTTCAGGTTTGTAGGATCTGCTTTACTAGTACAATCCAAGATCCACCAAACAAGACACATGCAAAAGACTGATCCAGGAAGGTAAATGGAGAATTTGGAAAGAAGTTATTTTTGAGTACATAGAGAACTTAGGGTTTTGTTTTTTGAATTTGGAAAGAAGTTATTTTTGAGTACATAGAGAACTTAGGGTTTTGTTTTTTGAATTTGGAAAGAAGTTATTTTTGAGTACATAGAGAACTTAGGGTTTTGTTTTTTGAATTTGGAAAGAAGTTATTTTTGAGTACATAGAGAACTTAGGGTTTTGTTTTTTTTTCAGTATCAGAACTGGTTTCATATATAAAACTAATTCTATTTTCTCTCAAGCTTTCTTGATCCCAGCAGCTTATACTAAGAGGGGGAGAAAAGGCTTTTTATGGTTGTTCTTGTTTAATCATTGGGAACTGGAACCATTCCACACCAAATATGTATTTATGTCTATTTCTATTCCATATCAGTTCTCTGTGTATTTAACTTTAGCTCCATTCCATCCAATTTCTGCTTCAGTGATTTAAAAAATGAATGAAAATTCATATTTATTTCCATACTTGTGTCTAATATATACTTTTTAATACATCTTTTCTAAAATATGTATTTTTGTGCATACTTTTCCTTAATACATGCAATTTCCAGCAAAGAATTATATATTTAGAGATCTGGGCAGTAAGAAATAGAACACTCTTTCTGCATACTAGTCCAGAAAGAGAAAATTAGATAGTTTATTGAAATCTGTATACCAAACAAAAACTCTCCATCTCTGCTTAATGCAAATGTCTTAAAACCATTCAGTTCACAGATTGAGATAATTTTTCATGATGCATCTGTACTTGAATATGAAACTATTATCTACATAAATTATTATAAAGGGTCTACGTAAAGAAGTATCAAGCATCTAAGGTTGCAACAAATGCTGCCTTTGGCATATGCTGATAGATAAGGAGATCTTTGGATCTGTGACAATTGGTTCTCACACTGATGTGAAGTCTAGTAGCGGTTAACAAAATAATGAATAGATGCAGTCAGACCCATCTTTACAAAAGCAGGCGGCTTTGTAAGAGTGCAATAAAACTGAGAAGGGTTTTGCCACTATACCTTGGCTAGTTAAATGGTAAATTCTAAGACAAAGTGATTGGGATATTCATTTTGGCCTTGCCCTGTCCAATTCCTCCTCTCCCCCCACCCCAAATTAATGAAAAGGTTCTGCAGTGAAACTGTAAATCTATTTGGCTGAAAGCTTTACAGAACTGGAAACCCTCAGCAGGCAGGTTTCCTCATTACCCAATCACTCTAGCTATATTCAGCTGAATTATAATAATTTATCTTCATATAATCCTATGATTCAGAAGTCTTGGATGGAGGTGCAGAAGTAGTATGTGCATGTCCAACTCCAAGTTTTATTTACAAAAGTGGGCTTTTTTGGGCCAGAAAGCTTATTTGCAGATTATCATATATTATCATATTTAAATATGATATGTTTTATTTATTAATTTATGTATTCATATTGAATATAATATGCTATTATCATATTTAAAAAATCACCTGTAATACGGAGTTTATTTTCTTCGGTTCTTCTCCAAAGTCTGACACACCGTTTACTGAGTATGTAAATACTGTAATCAGAGAGAAAAATATATTTTAGGACCAAGAATCTATTGCCAAAGGAGTCCCACCATTTTTACTACCATTATTTTTGCACTTTCGTTTTCTCTTTGCCTTTGGATTTGTAACTTGCACTCCTAATAAGATGCCCTTCCTAAGAGCCAAACCACCAATGTCCTATACTTCTATTTCCATCTGTGAAGAGAGAAAGGGTTGAAAACTATGAATATTGATTCTGTTACTGGTATTAAAACTTCACTTTTTAAATAGTGCTGCTTATTCTTTAACTGAAAGGAAAGGTATGGGAAAAAAGCGAGGAATGTGTAGAATATTTTGTATCCAAATATTCTGTTATGTACTATGCATATTTCCTCACTTTTCTCCCATGCACATATGACTTCTGACAAGAAACAAGTATTACTGTCAACATTCACCTGTATAAATTGTTTTCGGAAATTTAAAAGTTTTTCCTAGGACTGATAATGCTCACACGTGAATATCAACATTTCTTTCGATTATCTTAGCTACTGGGGGTATATTTGGGCCTGCTCAAGTCTGTTGGGGATGTTTTTATGGCAAGGCATTGCAGGAGATTTTAACAGCATTCAGGAATAGCATTCATTCAAACTATTAGTAGCATAGCTTGCTTTTTCCCTTAGGGAACAGTTCCATGATGAAAGCATTAGCATACTTGAATGTCTGATGAGGAACTTTTCCCACCATCTCCTTCTACTCCAGATGGCTACTCACTCACATGTGACAGCAAATACCGCTGCTTTGTATGAGTTTGACTCAGCAACCTTATCACTGAATATCCCGATGGTAGGCTCTGCAATGTCTCTTGCATTTTTACTGATGGCAAATGGCTAATCTAAACAGGATGCATCTCTGCTATCTCTCGGTTCCATGATTCACAGTTTTACACTGGATCCCGGACCATTTGTAGCTAAGTCAATTACACCAAGACTCTGTCTAGTCCCCGGAGCACTCAACTCTGAAGCAATGCAAAGATAACTCCAATAACACTGATCGGACCACATGAGCTGCTGGACAAAACCTTTCTTACTGGAATTTGTTCAGTTGCTGAGGGAACTGTTAGTCTGTATTTCCCTAATGATTACTTTGTGAGGCAGATATTTGTATAGCCTTGATCAGATAGTTGGTGGTTGCTGTGTGATTGGTGCATTTGAGTAATTTGTGGCAGCCATGTATGATGGCTGCTGAGAGGTGCCACTTTATAAAAGTGGTGATGCCATGCATCCAGGTTGCAAGTTGCTGACAAGTTGGAAACTGCAGAGTTTATGTTTGCACAGGCTGTTTCTTCCTGATTATTAACCTCCTTCCATGACTCTTGAATTACTTGAGCTATTGCTAAAGAGGTGTCAGATATAAGAAATAAGAATTCTATACTGATCTTTGTAGTCTATGAGCAGTAGGTAAGCAGGATTGTATTAATTGTATTATTTGTCAAGGCATGCTCTTCCAGTCCTTGCTTTACTTATAATGTATGGATTTAAGCCTATGTATGAAGAAGCCAGTGTGCATTAGCAAAATCTATATAGCTTATGAACATCTGAATTCCAATGTGTTATCAGTGAGGTGGAAGTGTCTAGTTAATGTAACTCACCACGTATATATGACTTACTCTGCTATGGCATATGGCATCCAAACAGGGGAGACAAATTACAGTACATGTATAATGACACCATCACACAATTGTCATGGTCTACATACTTATGTCAGGATGCAAGTACATAGTGACAGCATATTTTGTGTTGTGACATCAACCTGTGCTTGTTCCCAATTTGGCATCTCTGTTTTGTTTTGCTGTGGATGCTGTTGGCTTCTGGTTTCCAAGATGACATTTTGATATAGGATCACTTGCAGAAGCATAGGATCCAGCATACTGCCACACTATTTAATTAACAGTAAATCCTTAACTACCAAAATTAAGACAGAGTTGCAATGCAGCAATGAAAGTATAAACAAAATCTCCCAGTGCTGCCATAAGCCAAATGGCAGTGTTTATAATCAATTCCATCTGCTTAAGTCCTGCATTAGATTATTTAACAAGTTAGCAAACTTTGCTCTAATCTCTGGCTCTCATAGAATGTGGGACCACGGAATATAGATCTTGATGAAGAATAATTTTTTAGGATCTTCTGGGTTGCTGTCAGCCCTACAAGGTAGACTAGACTAGGAAACCAGTGCCATGTAGGTCAGGACTACTTTTATTGTAACAACTATAATAACAGAAACTTGCAAGTCTAAATGTGCTTCCCCCTTCCCTCACCTTATCTTCCTGTGAACTAGGGAAGGGCTCGTCTGAGATGCTTTCTCAAGCTATTTTTTTGTCTCAGGCTATTCCCCATGCCCCCTACCACATCTGCATGAAGCCCACCGCTTAGAATCAACAGGCAGTGGCATTTCCTTGGGATTCATAGGACAAGCCATGTGATCGGAGGTGGATATCTCTATCTCAGAGGGACCAGACTAACTCTACCTCCTCCTCAATTTCTATAGGTTCTTGGTCTTTGGCAATAATGCCATGTTAGCACAGAACAAAGACTAAAAATTGCCTTATAATATGTATGTATGTATTTGATTTTTAATTACCTATCACTGAAGACCCTGTGGGGCAAACAAGTTCAGACTTTAAACCATTTAATACCCATGCATACCCTTCAGTACACTTAATATCCTTAATTAATGTTTGTGTGCCCTGTATCAGAAGCCTTGGGAACACAACAAAATTTCTGCCATTAACATGGCTTTGCAGACAGCATGGGCAATTTTCTAAATCTGCCAAGAGGAATGTTTTGGAGTAGCTCCTGTATAATTTTCTATGCTAATCTTCTGACGAGACAACAGTAATCTAATCATGTGATGATCAAATAAACTGTTAATATTCTGCTTTGGAAACACACACAGAACTCCAGCAACAACTTTCCTGCACTACGTGAAATTATGCACATCTCACAGATAATAGATCTTTTTAAATATGGAAAACATGAATGTTAAATAGGGCTGTAAAGCATTTACAGCAATTTTTTATGATTTATTGGCAGTGTACCAAGAAACAGAACATATTTAATTATTAAAAACCCTGGGAATGTAGTGGGGAGTAAATAACTGCGTCCTCAATATTTGTTTGCAACCTTCTGACATTAATCCCAAAACAGGGTTTGTACTTCAGGACTCTGTGAGGTATTTTATGTTGGCGCTAATAGCCTTGCACTCACCACTATTGCTGCGTTGTCTATTTATGTCAAACATATTTCCTGGACTTCCTCTTTCCTCAGGAACTTCTGCCAAATCCGATGTCTGCAACACAGAAAAAAGGCAATAGAATGAAAATGAGTGACAAGGTGAAAAAACTTATGAGATCAAACATGCGCCAACAAGTTGATGATAGTGGTAAGTGTAGGGGGAATGAGAGTGGAGATTCAGTGCTGCTTCTACTATGTTATCCAGAGGCAGTTCAAATGCTTGATGGAAGGATAGCAATATGTATGGGATAAACTGGTGTCCTAGATGTTAAATGGAGTGCAAACTTGTTTTCTTATTTCTACTGGCAGAGAAAAGGAATACTAAGCTCTTTGGAGCTTCCTCGTGAAGTAGGTTAGATCAGCCCTTCCCAAATTGGTGCTCCTCAATATGCTGGAGGTCAACTCATATTATTTCCTAAACAGCATAGCTATCCAATGTCAGGGGAAGACATTGCATCACCTTGTGGGCAATGCTTTAACTCCCCACAAACACATACTTAGATTAAAGCTGAAAAGATGCACTGGTGGGACTCAGTCTGCTCTTGGTTGCTGTACTGAATCCAGATGATAGTGGGATAGAGATGCAGTTATAGTTAAAACAGATTTACTAAAACCTATTTGTAATCAAGTAGTTTAATCAAGAGTCTAGTCTATTCTACTCTAACTAGGTATGGATTCAATCCATTACGAAGTAATGTCATCACCTCTTCATTTGCATATTGCTGTTCTTTCCCATTCCAAGTTTTGTTTCACGGTCATCTCTGACATTCCTTTGAGACTATTTTTTGAATAGCTGGCAACAAAGAATTTGATGAATGATGATTGATAATGGATGTTCAGTTATAAAAAGAGCAAAGAATTTTCTAGCAACCTAAAAGCTAAACCATATTATTGCTGCAAAAACTGTATGGAACCCACCTGACTTTATCAAATGCATAAAACATAACCCACTGATTTTAGGGCTAGATGAAATAGATACCTATGATACCTTGTGAAATAACACACGTGTTAATCTCTAAGGTGCTATAAAAATAAGGTTTACTTATGTTTTTAATATGTTAACAAGCACTGGCAGACCAATATGGTCTCATTCCTTTGGTGGATTATAATAGGATTTGTCTACAGCTAATGGGGTTCCACATTCCATATAATGGAACAGAAGTAGGGAAATCAAGGTCATGGGGGCTTGGGCCTAGAGACAGATTTTCTTAGTTGCAGCTTTAACATTACAATAAGTTGACCCCAAGGTCAGGATGGTGTTCTGTTTAGAAAGACTGTCAAGATGGTCCTTTTCAATAGAGTCTTGGATCATAAGGTGTCACTTAACTGGGGACAGCTGCCTACAAGATGTCTTGCTATGTTGGTTTTATGCCTGTGGATTGTTGAGATATGTTTTTTTATGAGATACTATAATGGTGTGAAGTGATATCACAAGACCTTGTTTTATTGCTCTGATAGTTTTCATGGTTTTATGATTTTACTGAGTTGTGAGTTTATTTCTTTATTAAACTTATGTGCTGCCTATCTCCCCCAGAGTTGCCTTGAGTCTTAGATGGAGGTGGTATACAAATGATTGAAATATATGAATGAAATAAATTTAGAAATTCCTGCTCAATGATGAAGCTCACTGGGTGAACTCGGACCACTCATTCTTTTTAATTTTTGCCTATCTCACAACATTGTTGTAAGGATAAAATGGGAAAAAGAAAGAACCAGATTCACTGTCATAAACAACCTGAAGGAATGTGAGAAATTAAATTAAATATACTTCTAAATTTTAATGCCTGATCAACTGAAGTTCATGTGTATGTTTTTTCAAAATGACTGTAGTATTAAAAACTACACAGTTATGCATCATCTGCTATTTCACAGCCTGACTCGACAAGAAGTAAATCCCACAATGTATTGGCATTAGAAACCTACGCCCACTCTCCATCTGATCAAAATTTCAAGTCAATCTGACATTATGTTCGTGTTTTCTGTGTTTGAGTAATCATTTATTATTTAAGAGAACACTTTACCAATTTGACATGAAATAATTACCCGTAGGAAATTCTGATCTCTGAGTGAATTACAGAAATCAAAGAAAAGGAGCAAAACATTTGAAGAAATTTAGCCTTCTATTTATGAAATATAACAATGATTAGGTTTGGTAGATCATTTCAATAGGGATATGATCCAGAACCCTTCTCTGGGAGGATAAATTATTTGGAACAGCTCTAACAGTAGCAATTAGAGAAAAGTTGGTGCTACATGGGAGAGGCAAGACTACATCTTACTCCTGATTGCTATCTAACTAGTCTTCTGGTCCAACTCTTGCTTAGGAACACAGAAAGCATTTTTACATTGAGCCAATTTTGTCAGGACTGACTGGCAGGTGCTCTCCAGTGCATAAAAGAGGAATCTTACCTAATTGGAGATGCTGGAAATGGAGGGCTTCTGCATGCAAATCAAGGTTTTACAGATTTAATTCAGAGGGTCTTTTCAGAGGGTCCCTTTCTAAGTTGGGAGTGAAAGAAGCCAGAGACTGGGCCAACATTAAGCGTACGTTTAGGCTGTATTTAGGGCAGGGGTGATGGACAATCTTTTGGTGACTGGGACTGAAATTAACATTTTTTGAGAGGATAAAGTTCAGGATTTTCTATTCTTTCTCCCAAAGTTTTAGGGGGAGATTTGGGGCCATTTCTTCTCCTGTTTTTTTTTTTTTTAATCTAAGTAGCTTAAACTTACTTTACAGCTTAAAGTAAATTGTCAGATTTCAGACTTAAAAGGTGGAAAAACCATACTGTGAATTTTAGCAGTTATATTGTAGCTAGAAGAGAACAAAGGGGCATGAGCGTTTCAGGCAGCTATATGGCATCAGGTTGCCCAATGTCATTTAGGAGTACATGGAGCTAGAGATTTTTTTATTTTGGTGCTTGGCAAGTATACTTTGATTTGGTTAAAAGAGACTGAAAAGTATGATGTATTTGGAAAGCAGAGCCCAAAGAATTAACCTGGATTTTACTCTGCACTGCACATACTGGAAATCTTCCCTCGTACAAAGAATTGTTGGGAATCCTAAAGAACCTCAATACAGTAAGCGGGGTTGGCATATATTACCAAGAGGTAAACTGAAGTTATCCCTGCACAATAGAGATGCTAATCTCACAATGGGTTCAGCTTTATGGCATATTTTCTTAGATGGCTAATCTAGCTTTGCTATTGCTTCCCTCCTGAAATTGTAAAGAGGGTGACCCATTTCTCCACTAAAGTGTCAAGAGTTACTGAGATGGTACTAAGAAAGGACAGAAGAGAATTATGCCCTAAAGATCCTTTGAGCTCTTCAAAGATTATTGGAGAAGCCAACCTCTTTGCATGATAACAGCACAGCTGACAGCACCAGGATGCCATAAGTACCCCTACCTTTGTTTTTGAAAGATTTGCAATCATATATAGGTGAGGTATTTTATGTATTGGCAGAAACAATCATTTAGAGAATTGTTGGCTGCTCCTTAATGATCAGAAATAATTCTGGCCCCATTCTTCTGGCGGAATTATCAGTATTCTAACTCAAACTCATAAAGCAGGATTTCCCAACTGTTCTATTTCTGT